TCTACGTAAACCAGGATGCAGAACGGAGTCTGGCCAGCACGAACGAAGAGCAAAGGGTCAGCAGAGGATGGAAGGAACTACAGGTCAGCTAGCATGGCACGCAGCGTGTCATGCCACTCATGGGGCGCCTGTCGCAAGCCGTAGATGGGGCGCCGGAGGAGCCACTGGGTCCTAGGAGGGAAAGTACCGGTGAAGCCCTGAGGGCAGCACAGGTAGACCTTCTTGTGTAGGCTGCCCTGGAGGAAAGCAGTGGAGAAGTCGATGAAGTGAAGCTCGTAGTCACGCTATGCTGCTAAGTATAGCAGCGCCCGAAGAGTAGTCATCTTCGGGGTCGGGGCGAAGGTATGAAAGAAGTCCACCCCCTCTCGCTGACTGAAACCTCGAGCCAGGTATCGCACCTTGAACACAGGCGGCTCTCCAGGGGGGCGCTTCACCTTGAAGAGCCACCGGCCATCGACTACGTTCACCCCAGGTGGGGGAACTGCGTCGACGTAGGTGCCGGTAGCCCTCCAAGATGCCATCTCCTGCTCCATGGCAGCTATCCACTGAGAGGCACAGGGTCCCGAGGTGGCCTCAGCGTAGGTGCGAGGGGTCGGGATGTAAAAGGCGTTGGGATCACCCTCAGGGACTTACAGCATGGAACAGAGACGGGGAGCAGCCTCTGACAGGAAATCGAGCTCGTACTGCCAGTCCTCCAAGACGTCACTGCCGAGGGCAGGAGCACCCCCGACGGACGGAGGACAGACAGGGTCAGAGACTAGAGCGGTAGCGAAGTCAAGGCGGCGAGTAGAGGAAAAGTCAGCGACAGCAGCTACAAGAGCGTCAAGACTCGAGACAGGAACAGACGGGTCGGTAACGAGGGAAGCAAGGACTCGAGGAAAAAGAGGACGAGCAGCACGAAGGTAGTCAGACAGAGGGGGAGGCGCAACAGTGAGCGACGACAGAGGAGGCGAAAGCAGGAGGGGAGGACGAGACGCGTGGGAATGAAGCAGCATAGGGTGCGAATGCTGAACAGGAGAGACAGGACGAGTACAAGAGGGACGGCGAGACCTGATGTAAGACGGAGGCGTCGGGTCAGGAGACAGAGGAGGAAGAGGGGAACGAGAGGGGAAATGAGCCGGGGACGAGTCCGGCAGAGGAAACACAGGATCGAGAACAAGAAGAGGGGGAGACGGCGAGGGAGGCGCAGGCGAGCATTCAGGGGAGGGAAGGCCGAGCAGGCGAAGGGCGGACACCGGCGGCGACTGTTTCTGCTGCTGCTTAACGCCGACACCTCAACCACCAGCTGCACCACTGCTACATCTGGTACACTCCACGCCAGCACCCCCAGAACGAAAAACGTCTCCAGCGCCGGTGCCACCCCCTAGCCCGCGGGACAAGCCACGACAGGAGCCCCAGGACTAGCACCCTCTCCAACTCCAGCACCCCCAGAGTCCACGAACGGTTGCGGCTGCGTCGACGGCTGCGGCTACGGCGGCGGTGACGGCGGCGACTGCGACGAGGGAGGAGGATTCACCGGGGGAGGGACCGGCGGCACAAACTGTGCCGCGGGGCCACCGGATTCAGCCGACTCCTCGACCGGGACAACCGACGGGAGGGGAGTGACGTGAGACACAGCGGATAGAGTAGGACGGGGAGGGATCGGAGCAGGGGCGACCAGGGGAGTGGGAACCAAAAAAAGGGGGGGGAAACCGGGAGACCTCGGTGAGGAAAGCGATGGAAAAAGGAGACAGACTCGTCGAAATTGACGTCACGGGAGTGAAGGAAGCCGTAAGAGGACGGGTGGTAGAAGTGCCTGTTAGACGAGTCAAGGATAAAACAAGGAAGACACAGGGGACGGTGTGGGCAGTGAGCTTGTCCGTGCCGGAGGCACGAACGTGAGCGAGGCAGCCCCAGACGTGGAATGCAGACGCATCACCAGGGAACCCGGTCCAAAGAAGGGTCGGCGAAACCTGCGGCCGCTGGAGCGAGGCCAGAGGTTAAGCTGGTGACCGGCGTAGCGAACGGCGAACGACCATAGAAAATGGGGTGCACCGGCATGGATCAAGGAGGTATCAGCCACCTCCATGACGAAACCGATGCGTTGCTCAGCGACCCCATTCTGTTGCGGGGAGTCCGGTAGGGTGTACGTCTGGGTGATACCCTCCGCACGACAAAACTGACCCAGACGAGAAGAGGTGAACTCGCCGCCACGGTCGGAGTGGAGACACAGCACAGGGAGACCGCGGTGGAGGCGTGCAGCGACGAGCCACGGGATAAGAATGTCAGGCACGTCGACCTTCCGCTCCAGGGGAATCACCGTGGTGTAGCGCATGAAGTCGTCAACGAGCACCAGAAAGTAGCGCTCGCGACGTGGTCCAGGGACAGGGGCTGGGCCCCAGACGTCCAAGTCTAGGGTCTGAAGGGGTGCAGTGGCACGGTGAAGTGAGGAGTGAGGAGCATGACGCAGCCGGCCCTCGACGCAGGGCGTGCACGACGGCCCAGGCGAGGGAGGGAGAGTAGGGAGCGATGCAGGGAGGCCGAGGACTAGACCGTGCTGAGACATGTGACGCAGGCGGCGGAGCGCGGGGTGACCTAGGCGGTGGTGCCACAATAGTGACGGGTGAGTGAGCTATCGACACGAGCAGGCCGCAGCTACCGTGGTGGACGCAGAACCAAAGGAGGACTCGTCCGCCGGGGGGGGAGCAGTGTCCAGCGTAAACAGGCCAGACACAGGGTCCAGGGGGAACGTCGCAAGGGGGGCACCTGAGGCGGCCTCGGAACAGACCGCGTACCGCTCGTGACCAGGGAATGTAGTGGTGACGCCGAGGTCCTGAAGACAGCCGACACCAACTAAGTTCCTGGAGAACAGAGAGTTGTGCAGGCCTGTAAGGGAACCCGAGGAAACCGCCAGACAGGGAAGGGTCGTGTAGCTGCGAGCAATTACAGGACTCGAGGAGGGGTCCGCAAGGGCGACAGCGGCAGGCACAGCAAGCGGCGTGAGGGCGGCATGGTCGCGGAAGAAGCAGGCTGACACACCGGAGTCTAGGGAAGGATAGCGACGCCGTAATGGCCGATGATGGAGGAGCAAGGGTAGAGCCTAGGCTAGACAAAGGAAGCTGTCCTACGCCTGACGCAGCAGGGAAGTCTGGACTACACACAGGTGCTACGCCTAAGCTAGAGAACATAGAGTAATACGGTCCGGAAACACTCGAAGCGTCAGCATACAGAGAATGCAAGGCAGAACTAATTTGATCCATGTCTAAGTCAGACACAGGCACACCGTGGCGCAGCAGGCTGGGCCTGTTTAGGAGGTTCGGGGCAAGACCAATGCGGCAACGGAAGAGGTCGTCGAGGCGGCGGAAACAGCGGGCGGTGGGGTGCGAGCGGCGGCACACCGTGCCTCGCAGGGGCCCCGTCTGAAGCTGGTACTGGCAGCTCACAGCACCGAAACTGCTGGTGGACGCCCAGGTGCGAGGGCCACCACCACGACCACCACCGCCAGGGGCTCCTGGCCACCCGGGCGGGAGACGAGCCCACGGCCGCTGCTGCTGCTGCTGCTGCTTTGGCTGCGACTGCGGCGACTGCTGCTGCTCCTAAGCACCAGCACCAACCCCCTCGTTTGAACCACTGTCCCCGCCACCACCACCACTAGCGCCACCTCCACGTCCTCCCTTGGGGCCTCGGCGGCCCTGGCGCTTGCGCTGCTGCGGGGTAGCCGCAGCTGTTGTCTCAGGTGCAGGCGCAGTCGTGACAACTGCGGCGGAGACGTCAGCGTACGTGCGCTGGGAGGGAGCACAGCCCTAAAAGATAGGGACTGCCGCAACACTGCTCGACTGGGCGATAGTGCGCTGGAGAGTCTCTATCTCAGACAGCGTATTGACAAAGGCGGTCAGAGTGAGGTCGGCAGGGTGTTGCATATCGGCCTCACTCACGTTCTTCATTTCTAGTTCAACTCATTTGAGTTTCCTCGCCCACCCACCCTACCTAGCTATGTGTAGTTTATTAGACCAGAGAACCAATGATGCAACCCATATGAAATGAACAGGCCCCCAAATTGGTTTTGGGGTTGTATGATTCGTCTGACTTGCATGCCGTCCCTTGGTATGGCCATCAGAGTTGCCCCTAAAAAAAAGTCTGAAAAATCAGAGTAACGATAGATTTTTTGTCTGAAAAATCAGAGTTACAATAGATTTGTTGTCTGAAAAATCAGAGTAACAATAGATTTCTCGTCTGATCAATTACCATTATTTTCAGACGTTGACTTTAAAGCCGTGGTCACATGTAAATGAATGTCATATTTGTGTGCTGACGAAAGTAAACCGTTGCGCCACGCCACCCAAGACCCGGTCGCGCAAATTTCACGTGCCAGCTGACGACAAGGTTGGGTGGACTGGACTGGTCGTGACGAATGGCATGTGCAGGAAGAAATTGGGGGAGGAAACGAACTGGGGCGGGCGAAGAAAAATTGCAGCGAGGGAAATCTCGTGAAGGGCCAATGGGTGCCCTCGCACACACAGGCCGTGGCACACAATGACAAATCTCGCCAAGGGCCAATCGGCCCCTCACATCGCTTCCAGTACAAACTGGGAGGTGATTGTGGTGAAGGGCCAGTCAGCTCCCTCACACAGCCCCCAACACACACTGAATTTGGTTAAGGGCCATATAGCGCCCTCACAGAGCCTCTCGCAAGAATCGCGCCCTCCTTGATTTTGGCTAAGTGCCAGTCTGCGCCCTCCACAGGGGTTCCAACGAAAATCATGCTCCCTCCCAATCACGGTATTACGAGGAATCAGAGTCTACTCCCCATATAGGGCTGAGGCATCAGAGTACACTAGTAAAAAAAGTCTGAAAATTCAGCGTAGGTACGTAAATCTTCTCTGAAAAATCAGAGTAAGGTACAAAAAAAAGTCTTCGCAATCAGAGTACACCCCCAAAAAATGTCTGAAAAAAGTCTGAATCTGAGTAAAAAGTCTGCAATTTGGGGGCCTGGAAATGAAGCACTCTGCCTTTCAAGAGGACATAAGCAAGCTTTCACAATTCTTGTTCAGAAATTACGTGGACATTTGATGTCAAAATGTTTGGCAAATGCTAGCAGGGGGCAAAGGTCTCCTCCACCAGTCTGTTTCTGCCAGGTTCAGTAAAACCAAAAACCCTTCCGCATGCGAGTCCAACAGGATTTTATCATCCATCTGCTTTTCCCAATTGCTTTAATAAAGCAGCTTCTGTTACTTCACATACCGCCAACACAGGCAGCATAACAGCCAGACAATTCTTCTCGATTGCATCGCTTAGCGGCCAAATGAGAGCCACTTGCGAAAGAGGGAGACCTTGCCACTGCTGCCACCTTGGCTCATGTTACTAGTATCGCAGTTCTTACTGCTGCTGTTGCTCCTTCTTGACTTGTCTCTTGGAAACATTACTGCTGCTGCTGACGCTGCTACCGATGCTGACACGTCGACAGATTTCTTGCGAAAATGTGTTTGCTTTTCCTGCTTCTCCGGCTGCTTCTGTTGCTGCTGCTGCTCCTGCGGCTCATGGTGCTGCTGCTGCTGATGCTGCTGCTGTTCCTGCTGCCGCCTCTGCAGCTCCTGTTGCAAAAGGATTGCAGCAGCAGCTGCGTCCTCTCTCTCCCTGTCCTCTGCTAACGCCCAGAGAGACGCGGCTTGTTGGACCCTGTAACAAAAGACAGAGCAGGAGAGACGAGGAAAGGAGAGGGGAGGAGAGGAGAGGAGAGAAAAAGGGAGAACGGGTGAGGAGAGGAGAGGAGAGGAGAGGCGAGGAAAAAGGGAGACGGCGGAGGGGAGAGGGGAAGAGGAGAGGAGGGGAGAAGAGGAAAGGAGAGAATAGGAGACGGAAGGAGAGGAGGGGAGAGAAGAGAAGAAAATGAGGACCAGTGTGCATGCATAATCCATTAGTGGAGAACTTGACTACTCTAAGGACACCCATTCTCGTCCACTGTGCATGGTTCGTTTGTGCATAATTCTTCGTACGTGGTTCCTCCCTGTTCCCCGGCCCCGCTATCCCGTTCCCACTTTCCTCCCTATCCCAAGTACTGGTACCCACTCCGCCCTCCCATGTCCTCGCACGCACCTCTCCTTCACCGCTTCTAGGTCAGAGTAATCCAGCGACGCGCGTCTCCCGCTCCCCGATATCGACTTCCGCGCGGCGCTCGCGTGCATCAGGAACTCCGCCTCCGCCTCCAACTGCTCCCGCGACTGCTGCGCCTCCGCACAGCCTTCCGCCACGGGGACTAATCTCCGCCCGACAACAGATCCGCCGCCGTCTCCGCGGACTCCTCCGGCGGAAACGACTCCGCGCGCGAGGGGAACCGACGAATCCGCTTCCGCGGCCTCTGTCGCCAAAACGCAGCGTCCGCCACCCGCGTCTCTTCCCTGGGGCAGTGGGGGAGTAATGGCGGCAGCGCTGCCAGCGGATGCGCCGATAGTAGCAACGCTGCTGTCAGTTGCGTCACCGTTCGACACCGCCGCCGCCGCCACTCGCGCATTCCGCTCGTCTTCTCTCCCCCCCGCCACCACCGCAGCTGCAGCAGCCGCAGCCACCGCCACCGCCGCGGCCGCTCCCGCCGCTCCGCCACCTGGGCGACGCGCCACTATAGGGGAAACGCTTGGAGCGGCCCAGGACCTGCGGCGGGAATCGCGCGGGCCGTCAATGGCGCTTAGGTCGTAGCCGGCGCCGGCAGCCTTGGCCGTCCGGTAGGCGCTCTGGATCTGACCGCCGCCGGCAGCGCTTGTCGCGGGAACGGGGATGGCGGCGGCGGCGGCGGCGGCGGCGGCGAGGTCGACGGCGTGCTGCGATTGGATCTTAGAGTCGGCGCCGTAGCGCGTGGAGGCGATGTACGGCACGAGCCAGTCGTCGTCGTCCGCCGCTTGACGCGTGGCCAACGCGCCGCCGCCGCCAGGAGCACGAGGCACGGCGGGAAGCGCCATCATGCGGCGCACGCCGTGAGTCTCGGGACTCACGGCGGAAAAGGAGAGCTGAAGGAAAAGCTCGTAACGCCGGCGACAACGGGAAGCGCTGGTGAAGGGAAAGCTGCCGGAACGACGCGACTGTTGCTAGTGTCTCGACGTACGACTCGTCCCTTGGAGGGCAGCTCTTGCTGTGTTAAGCTTCTTTTGCCGTCGCGGACTGACGGTTCACGGGAGCAGGAGGCGAGGGAAACGGCCCGTACACGGGGGGTTGTTGACGGTGGAATCGACAAACTGACGGCCGGCACAGGAAATGACGGTGCAAAAATGCTGCGAGGTTTTTTCCGACTTAGCCGCAGCAGTAGCGGGGACTGCAGCCGAATAGATGCAGCTGAGACCGGCGTTATCCCGCCTACACCCTTTCTCTCCCGGAAGCCGCCTTGCAAAGGCAAATCTGAAAAGAGCCAATAGTTAGCGAGTCTGCGGGGTAAGACTGCGAGTCTGTTATCCTCCCTGTAGCCTTGTCCCGGCAAGAGTGCTGGTGGGGGGTGAGACTTGTCAAGGCGGAGCAGTATTGCGAAGCAGGCTCGCGGATCCGGGAGAAAATACTTTCGATCGCCGCGTGACTGAGGGGGCGAGGGAGAGGACTCCCTGAGTAAGGATAAGGAGGGCAAGTCGGCTTGCCGCAATTCCCGTGTCAGCGTCGCATTGGACGGAATACACAACCCCGAGTTGTTGTTATCCAGTGAAGGGAGGAAGGAGTTAGAAGACAATTGCAACCAGCCCTGCCGTTGTTCTTCCCCGCAGCACGTTCAGCAACAGCCGAGGCCAGGAGCAACGGCCAAGGCCGTTGTGTTGCGTTCAGCGCAAGATCTAAGGGTTGCATTCTATTGGTGTTGTTTAGATGCAGTTGCTGCTGCTGGAAACGAAGGGCTCGCACACACTAGGGCTGTACAGTTGTGCACAATGCACAACTGTGATCCACAATTTCAACGTGAGGTCAGGAGGAGGTGGTGGGGCTGGTAGAGAGAGTGTTGGAGGGAGAGAGTGAGGTGGAGAGGAGGGAGAGGAGGAGGGAGGGGAAGGGAGGGAGGGAGGGAGAGAGAAGGGAGGATAGGGAGTGGGAAGTGAAGGGAAGGGAAATCACATGGCTGTGCTGCTTCGCCCTAAGCGCCGATTCTGTGGTGAGGCAACGCTGGTTGTGGATCATCCACTGTGGGATTTCCCCCAGCGAATGTCATTTTGGCGCGACAGAATTGATAGTAATCACCCACTAATGTGTGAAAAATAAGATCAAGGGCAGTCAACCACTATCAAGAGACTGCAATAACTCGGATTTCACCTAACTACTTCCCGACTAGACATATCTTGCATTCTCGGTTGCCCTTGAAAAAACATAGTGAAAATCAGGTACTGCCGAGATTAGCTCTGGAACTCGAGGGCAATGCCTTCACTTAGTGCCGTGCCTGGGAAGTTAGAGGCTACGCGCAAGGGTGGGGTGGGGGAGGGGAGGGGGAGGATAATGAAGCGCTTTCAAGTTGCGAGGAGGACCCTTGTTGGGTGGGGGAGGGCAAGGCTTGTTGCCACTATGCCCTTAGCAACTCACAGCAGCTCAAGTTGGGCGAACCCGTCCAAGGTGGTGGAAATACACTCGATGCCCAACCTTATCGCAGCTCAGCCTGGCGCCCAATCAGAATCCGTTTCCAAAACCCCCGATATACGGGCAATGTGAGATCGGTTTGTCACTCATGATTGCGTCTGCAACCAGCATATAGCAAGGGACAAGTCGTTGCTGACGAGGTTTTGTCGCCACGTTTATGTGCACTGCTGTCACCTGATCGCTTCACAAGAGTCGCATACTGGCAAAAAACAGCGCCACACAAGCCCCCCCTCACAAATACCCACCTAGTTCGTCGTGTGCTCGTGCGAAAGCCTCATTTTCCCGTGGCGAGGGACAGCAAAATACTTGATCGATTGAATCCCCGGCACCCTAAAATCTTGTGCGACTCTGACGAGCTTCGTTTGTACACACACACACCTCTTCGTGCATAGTATTAAATCCATTTAACAGAATTCTTCGGCCATAATCAGTCAACGTAAAGTTAGTGGTAACCGTTATACCTAGAGAAGTGACCAGAGATTCTGGGAATAAACAACAAAATGCGCCAATCAGATGCGCGTTTTGCTAACAATTTGTGGACTCTGTCGTACAAATGACAGACCATGACAAACAAGCTGACGACTCGGGCAACTGTGCAAACCGTTTACCGCGGTAACCAGAAAACGCATACAGTTTCAAACAGCGTTTCATCGAAAAAGACGTGTAGCCTACTGGTAGTGTATAGTTTGGGGAGGCTGACGGGACGGGGCTTCGGTTTGGTGATTTAGCCACTCTTCATATCCGGATTCTTTACCGAAACCACCCGTTAAACTCTGTTTTCGGCCGAAGTCATACTAGTCAAAGTCCGATTTTCGGCCAAATCCCTCGAAACCTACGCTTGCAGCCCATTTTGGGGCCGAGTTGATCCAATTAATGTATCCCCGGGCTCAGAGATACCGAATCCGTTAAAAAAAGTGAGTTCCGGTTCAAAACAGCCCGTTAAAGTACCACAATCCTGGGAGCTACCCGTCAAACAAAGCCCAACGGGAGACGCAATTTTCAGCCAAAGGTTTGTGGGGAGAGTTACGGAAAGTAAGAGGGAGGGTGGCACGCAGGGCTCTCGGTTCAAGGGTGTACATCCGGAATGTCAGGTACATTCCGGCTCTTTCCTGCTGGAGACCTGATTTTGAGGTTTTCGGCCTCCCAAACCTCCTGACTGATTCCGGACGTTTCCAAGGAACTCCCTGAGCAAACCGGATTGCGCGAAAAATTGTCCTGACTGTCCGACTGGTATGGAAAAAGAACCCCTGCCGGAATTGGCCTACCCCCGACCAAATTTCCATGCAATCTGAAAGTGCGACCTGTGGAACTTTCACAGCCGCACAAGCGCAAGGCAGTCAGACTAACACACCATCTAAGCCAGGTTGCACACTATTACTCTCACTTTCTACAGTATGCATTTCTGTCGCGATGGACAAGCAAAGTGTCGAACTTGGTATGTTGGTGAGGGACAGCAGCAGCAGGAAGGAAGTGTTCTGTATTCTCTTCCATCGTTTCTTCCATATTTGTCCTTCCTGCTTTCTCGAACTGCCCAAAGGTTCTACTGATATGTAGGGCGTTCCAAAAACGCTCTGAATTTTAGATTGAAAGTTCAAAGTGATCCTGGAATAAAGAGATTTTCTCGGGAATGCTGATTATTCAGGATCTTCAGTGACGCGAATCCTGAGGCCGCTCGGTCCTGAAATAACGTAAAATTTGCCCTGGTGGCACGGGAAAGGTTTGGTGGGGGAGAAGCCTGGGCCTGGTTCTGAGGGATTCCGAACCGAAGCTAGCATACATGGCAGCATGCCACAGGTGTCGTCATGTATGTCAGATTTTGTAGAGATTTTGCTTCCGAAGTCTTTGCTGACCTGTAATGTAATGCACACCGTAATGTACAATTCTGTAGCATTTGTCCTGAAAACCACACCGCAATTACACGTGAAGTCCTTTTCTGGATCAGTTTTTTATTTGGGCGGGGGCTCCAGAGTCGAGCACAAAACTTTCACAGGCAAATTTCAGACGACACTGGCGGATGACACGACGCACAAACGGTCCTTAGGAGCAGTCGTCTGATCCGAGTTCCATACCGAAACCACCCAAAAACGTTCGTTTCTGGTCAAAATTGTACCTGACGACAACATTGTACCCGTCAGCATCAGTTTTTCGGCGGACCCTACATCGTCAGTTTCGTCAACCTCGAAACAGGCAGCTGAAACATTTTCGTTGGCGATTCGCCAGCGTTGCATGGTTTCGCATGCATGTGCGAGTTTCGAGGGTTTCCCCTAGCTGTATTTCGCAACGCTTGTTTTCGTGGGTGTGGCGCCAAAATTGACTCTAGATTTTGGCGTGCACTGACCCGTTATCCTGCCCGACTAGACTGTTTCGGCTTTTTGGCCTGTTTTTCGTTCTGTTATCCCTTTGTCATCCGTTCAGCCGGGGTCCCTGTACAGCACTTTTTGGACGCGTCAAAACGGCTTGGCACCCTCAGCCATCCGTTCTGTCATCCGCTGTCATCCGCAAAATATCCCTTTGGACACGCTCTCAGCTCAGTTGGCAAGGCTCTAAACAACCGGTCAAATCCCACGCTGCGGTCAGTTACGCGAAAAAACTCGCATTTTCTGGTGACGTGGACACAAAATGATGTGCCTGGACATGTTTCGGCCAAGCCAATCATAAACGATACACCTTATCTGGCTTAGGGTCACTCGAATCTGCAGCGCGGCTCGCGACATACAGTAAATTGCGAAAGGTCCGATGGCGGGGCAAAAGAGCCCTTAAAGCCCGAGTCTAGAATGGTTTGCTATCAAGTTCAGGAATCCTGAACTTGTTTTCATCCAATAGAGGGTAACGTAGTAAATGCCGTTTGAACGTCGCAACTCTCATGAACAAGGGGCAGCTTGCGAATGCCGCTGAAAAGGACAAACCCGCAATTACTGTTCATCTCAGTATTCATGATTTTCGCCTGCGACCATTCTGAACACATTTTTGTGGGGGGTCTCGCGTCACTGTTCGTTCCCCCCCTTCCCCCGCCCCCCATACACTGTTCATGCACTGTTGAACTCGGTTCTTGCCGATGAAATTCCGTGCTGCGATCACGGTTCTGCTATTTCGCCAAATTCTGAATTCGTCAGGGGAACTTTGCCGAAATTACTTTCGCCCAGTCGTTTTGGCATTGTTTTCATGCCCAGTATTCATGGTTTTTAGCCATTCTAGACTCGGGCTTTAACCTGAAACTTAGTTGAGGACGGCAATGATTATGGGTGGCCTCGCATGTAATATGGTGAAGCCCAGTGTTCGTCTAAGGAAATTCCCTTATCCTTACTGGGCTAGACTACAGCGCGTACGCCCTCGACTCTCTGAAGTCTAGGCTCGGCCAACTTCTCAGGTCCCAAACCATTTCGTGAACCCAAACCTAGACGCGCGGTGCTTCCGTGGCTTTTGCAAACCGGACCGCCCCAACATGTTCGCGTGGTTCTCGGCTAGCTCTGTTTGTGTCTATAAATGCATAGGCCCTCATTTCTGTCGATACTCTTGAATCACGACTCCATTATTACACTACATGTTATTATTCTGATTAATTCATAACTGCTGGTATTAGAGCTCCATTCCTGCCCGCTAGTCTTCCGTATGTTTATATCGGGAGAGGACCCGACGGAATAGGGGATTGGCCTGCGGTTGGTAGGTGAGCTCGTTAAAGCTCCTCCAACTAGAAGGGTGTGCACCATTCAAACTGTCAGGTAAAATTTCTAGCACGTCTATCACGCCGGAAACATCTGCCTGTCGTAGTGTTAGGAACGTGACTCAGGAGGAGTTTGACGAGTTGCAAGCCACGGCGGCTACAGTGACGACATTGCAGGCCCAGCTTCAACAACTCGCCAAAAAGTTCGAGTCGCTGAGAAGCAAAATTCAGACGCTGCGCAACGAAAACTCGTCGCTTCGCCAGACGGGTAAAAAGCGTCACGGGCGGCCTGTTACTCGAAATAAAGTTCTTGCGAGCGAAGCGATGGCGTCGGCGACACCTGAAGTTGTTAAAGAAGTCCACAGCGAGCCGCGGGCGGCCATTAAAAGCAAGCCACCAATGCATCTGCCGTTCAACCCGACCGACATGACAACTACAGTGAGCGGGTGGCTGTCGCCATGGAAATCTTCTTCACGGCAGCAAGTATTAATGACAACGCATCACGTGTTAACTGGGCTGTGTCGCTCCAGAGGGGACCGGCACTCGACTTGTGGTGCATGCGTCTTGACGAGGGAGGAGCCCCGGTAGGGAATCAACGTGCGGTAGATGGGGAGCTGAGTTCATCAACGGCTAAGGTAGAACCGATCTTTGGGTCGGCCATGATCCGCACGTGGAAAGCGTGGGGCAAAAGCGTTGAAGGGCAGATTCGAGCACATATCCATGGGCAAAAATGTTCGCACAAGGCTTCGGATGTGGAGACAGTTAGACTCTGTCCAAGAATACACTGCATCGTTTCTGGCAATCTGCGACCAAATCGGAATGCTTAGCAAAGACGAGCGCATCGATCGCTACGAGGGTGGTCTCAATTCGGAGATTGAACAAGAGTTTGTCCTGCAAGCCCTTGCGACATTCAACGAGATGGTTCGCATAGCAGACGCGCTGGACGCACGACGTGGACTCGCGAGAGCGGGTTTCCGGGAGGGAAATCGCTTTCGAGGCCAGCCCCAATACACATCAATCAATGGCGTGGACGTGTTTGCAGCCCGAGTATTTTCGGGAACCTGCTTCCAGTACAACCAGTCGGGTCACATGGTGAGGGACTGCCCGCAGCTGAAGAAGAACTTAGCTAATGACAAGAAGTAGTCGGGAAATGGAGTTTGTGAGTAGTAGATAGGCCACCTACTGACTTGACTGCGTCGCCCAAACACCACCACCCCCACCAGGGTATAGTGCCGATTTGGGCTATCGACCATTCCTGGTGGAATAAGGGGGGTGAACCGATTAATCACCTTGTGCTGGTTGAAGGAAGAGTTGGCATCAAAATATTCTTTGATGGTGGGGCGAGCCACAGTTTGATGGACGTGACGAAGGCGAAAAAATTGCGAGTGTAGCGAGAGCGATGCATGCCTGAAATCGACGCAAGATTGTTTGATACCACACCACTGGCAATTCGGGAACGGGTACCTCACGTGCGAGTGACATAGGGCAAAAATTTCAGTTTTACGACGAAGATACTGGCGACAACTTTGGACGGTTGCGTCATGTTGTTGGGACGCGATTGGCTACGGGAATACAACCCGAGCATTGATTGGCAGACGGGCAATTGTCGCATCAAGTGGAGTGGCGAGTGGCGACGACTACCCAAGTGGAGCTGTCGAGATTCGACCACATCGACGATCAGCGTAGTAACGATCAAGCAAGCCATGATTCGAGGGGCGCAATTCTATGCCATCCGCTAGATCGCATCAACGGCTGTCGATACACCGACCGACATCGACAAACTCTGCGCAGCTGTCCCGGATGATTTGTCAATGGTGATTCGGAAACACGCCGACATTTTTCCAGACGACCTACCGGCGCGTTTGTTATCGGAGCGAGACCATGACCAGAAAATCGAGCTGGAGCCCGGTGCACAACCTACTGTTCGGACTCAATGGTGGCTGATTCATCCCGAGCTGGATGAACTTCGACGCCAGCTGGACTACCTGCTCAAGAAAGGTTTCGTTCGCCCTAGCACCTCACCGTTTCCAGCTCCAATACTGTTCACCCCGATGAAAGATGGCGGTCTCCGAATGTGTGTTGACTACCGCGCCTTGAATCGGGTTACCATCAAGTCTCGCTAGCCTATCTCGCGTGTTGACGAACTCATCAACCAACTTAGCGGAGCCAAATTCTTCTCGAAATTGACCTGCGAGACGGTTACCACCAGATCCGCGTGAACAAAGCTGACTCCTACAAGTCGGCGTTTCGATCCCGATACGGGAGTTACGAGTACATGGTGATTTTGTTTGGCTTAATAGATGCACCTTTGATATTCCAATTAACCATGAACAAGGTTTTTCGGCCCTGCTCGATAAATGCGTGATCGTGTACCTCGACGACATACTGGTTTACAGCACTATCCGGAGCACCATTTGAAGGATTTGGAAGCAGTTTTCTCTCTCTTGCGGCAGCACCCGCTCATCACCAAGGGCTTAGAGTGCAAGTTTCTAAAACACAAACTGGAGTTTTTGGGACACGCCATTTCCATCGACGGTGTTAAAATCGATCCCAAGAAAATCGCGACGATACAAGACTGGAAGCCGCCGGCTAATCTCCGTGAACTTCAGAGTTTTCTGGGGACTGTCAATTACGCCCGCCATTTTGTTCCGAACATGGCGAGGGTAACTTCCACTCTCATGGATCTCCTGCAGAAGGGCACGTTTTATGAGTGGGGGGGAGAGCAGCAGGCTATGTTCGAACAGCTCAAACTTCTCCGGTTCTTCGGATTGCAGATCTTCACCGTCCGTTCGAGCTCATCACCAACGCTAGTTATCTGGCTGTTGGCGCAGTCCTGTCACAAGACTTCGGCGAAGGCCTCAAACCCATCGCCTACGAGTGATGAAAGCTCAACCCGGCCGAGCGAAATCTTCCTGTCCACGACAAGGAGTTACTTGCCATCGTCCACGCTTTCAAAGTCTGGCGCTGCTACCTGACGGGCGCTGACGTAACAGTCCGAACAGACCACAAGTCGCTACAGTTCATCCGTGCCCAACCGACACTGAATTCCCGACAGATTCGTTGGCTTGATTACCTCGAGTCCAACTTCCACTACAGAGTCACCTATAAACAAGGGGTTAGCAACATCGCTGACGCACTGACTTGCCCTTGAGTCCACACATCCGCCGTCCTAATTACCCAAGCTAATCTGCTGCTAACTGGCCTATTCACCCACGATACAGTACTGGCCCATTCTTCACCACTAACAGCCATCCCCAACTGACGGTCAAGCAAGGGGCCTATTACATAAAATCCAATACTAATACGATTTGGGTTCCCGCCTACCATACCCTACGAGAAATACAGATCCAGGAGGCATAGGACTCGAATTTCTCAGGCCCGGCGTCGACAAACCGCCAAATTTCTGAGCTGTAATTATTACTGGCTTGACCTGCTGACAGATGTATAGTAGTACGTCACCTCTTGCGCTACGTGTCAACGCATGAAGTCTACCCGACTTTGACCAGTAGGATTGCTGCAGCCTCTCGAGTCACCCAGCCGACCCTGGCAACAAGTGACGATGGATTTTGTCACTGGCCTGCCAGCTGGTCCAAGCGGTAACGACGCGAGTCTCGTCTTCGTTGACCGGTTGACCAAGATGGCCTACTTTGAAGCCTGCAAGACGACGAAAACTGCCAAGCAGACAGCAAAACTGTTCCTCACGAACATCGTGCGGCTACATGGTATCCCGTTGGCAATCATCAGCGATCGTGACCCACGGTTCACGTCCAACTTCTGGACAAAAACCTGGCAGCAGTACTGCACACGTCTGCATCTGTCCACGGTGTACCACCTGCAATCAGACAGCCATACTTAGCGCACCAATCAGACAGTGGAGTTGCTGATTCGCACGACGTGCGCAGACCCGGCCTGATGGGAAGATGCCCTCCCCTTGATCGAGTTTGCGTACAACAACGCCCCATCGGCCACGACTACCCAGTCCCCATTCTTCCTTAATTACGGGATAGATCCGGCAACCCCTCTATCGCCTACGATAGAAAATCCGGCACCAAGGTCGCAGCAGTTCGTCGAAAATCTCCGACAGTCTCAGCAAAGAGACGCCGATGCCATACTCAAACCCAATCAGAGGGCTAAGCAGCAAACTGACCGACAACGCCGAGACTTAAGGCTCCCCCTGGGCAAATGGTGTTGCTCGACACCAGGAATTTGCGAATTCCCCACCCAAATTATATTATGACCAAGATTTTGCGGCCCATTCCGCATCATCCGCATGGTGACACCAGTCACCGCCTCACTGCAAATGCCGGCCGACTGGCGAATTCATGATTCATTCCACGTCAGTCTCCTGCGACCGTTCGTCCCGAGTACGACTAATCTCGACCGTCAACACATCAATCCTACGGTCAATCCAGTACCCAAGCCAACGATCGAGCCATTCAAGATTCTCGCTCATCGCGTATGAGGCCATCGAGATACAGCAGCCGTTGATTTCCGCGTATGTACGATGGGTTGATCGCATGACTGACGACGATCTTTGGGTTCCCGCAGCTATGCTCGGCAAAAACAATGTCGTCCGGAACTATTTACACCGACGACGTGTCCTGGATGTGGACAGTCTCATCCCGAAAGGGGGGGTGGTGTAAGGAAATTCCCTTTTCCTTACTGGGCTCGACTATAGTGTGTACGCCCTCGACTCTCGGAAGTCTAGGCTCGGCCAACTTCTTCGGTCCCGAACCATTTCGTGAACCCAAACCTAGACGCATGGCATTTCCGCGGCTTTCACAAACCGGACCGCCCCAACCTGTTCGCGTGGTTCTCGGCTAGCTCTGTTCGTGCCTATAAATGCCTAGGCCCTCATTTGTATCGACACTCTTGAATTATGACTCCTTTATTATACTACATGTTTTTACTCTGAGTAATTCATAACAGTTCGCGAGCTAGGGTAACGTGGCTGCTTGCGAACTACCAGGTGCCAAGTTCCCACATTTGCAATCGGTTTCCAAGGCAAAAATCATCCAAATAAGATCCACGGTTACAGCAGCAGACAGCGTGGCACATGTGCCCAAATCACTAGAGTGCTCAATGAAAAATCACAACCCTTCCTCGTAAAACCGACCGACGGGTTACACCACTGCTCTGAAAGCCACCACTCGACAAGCACATAGCTCATCCAGCATGAACCCCACCTTCCCAAGCACACAAAGCAAACTGCAGGGATAGCTGCATATGGCCAGTCGAAGCGACGACACACACGCACCAAAGCACACAGACATAGAGTACACCTTGAGCCTTATAGAGGAGCACAACTTTTCAGGGTGCCGGTAAAAAAAACGCGCAGGGGTTTCGCACGGCATCATCACGGGCATGTGGGCCTTTCACACGGGCACGAAGGTTACCATTTTGAAGTTTTGCGGGGTAGGTTTGAGTGGCATATTTTGGCGAGCCATTGTTCACGCAGTTACACTGTGTTAATTTTCGGCGCTTTCAAGCGAGAGTGAGTTCCTCTAGTGTGGCACCAGAGTGGTGGTTGGCGGGTGAGATGTTGCGTGAGTTTCTCTGGTTTGGTTTGCTCCCTTTTATATTCAGTAAGATGTGGCAAGGGATTTGGAGCCGCATTTCAGTTCTAAATGTTAGGGGCTTGTTCTAAAGATTTCTTACATTACGAATTGAAGGTTCATGTCCCAACAATAACTGCTGCATGGAGTGTGGGAATCTGTTTTACGAGTCTGTTCCTGGGCTGGCTGTCGGAAGTTGAGAATGATCCTTGGTATAGGGGCATCGCGACTCCATTTCGCTGCCAAGTCGGCTTTCGGTTTCATGCGGCGATGCTCAGGCCATAAACGAACCCAGCGAGGCGTCTGCACCTTTGCGAGCTCAACGAAAGGCTTGCTGAGCTTCGCCGGAGCGCTATTTCGAGCGCGGTTGGAATTTTGCGGCGAAAACAGTTGCGGCGCACATCTTTCATCTTGTGCTGCATGTTTGTCACGTTGTCATGATGACGCTGCACTGCTGGCTCTGTTCAGGGCCCATATTGAGTGGGTCGTTGCCCGTGTGTCAACGCTAATGGGCGGTGGTTTCTGATTGGGCCACATACTGCGCTTGGCGTCCGGTGTGCTCCAGGTGTACTCGGTCTCAGACATTACGGAGAAGAGAGCCACTTGCCCAGGCGGGAAGGGGCTGACAACGGAGATGAGGTGAAGGAGAGAGTAGAGCACGGGGAAAGGACCCTTCCGGATGGGGGGAGGATACGGAAATGGTAAAAGATTGGACAGAGAATCCCGACAAATCTCCTCACAGATACACACGCTGTAGACAGGCCTGACCGACCTCGCAAGCAGATTGACGTGAACATTGCATACGAGTGGGGCGTGGGGTAGTACAGTATGGAAATCACTTAGGGCCTTTATCATCATTCCGCGCACCCGCTCACTCGCCATATCGCGGGCCATGGCGGTGCTAAGCGCAGCCACTCATTTGAGTCGGGCTACTCGATCATCGCCGTGTACCCCATTAGGAGGCGGCAACGAACAGCTGTCTCGGCATTTTCACGTCCGGAGGTGGTGCGGGGTATGATGGGGGGGGAGGGGTGGGGGGGAGATTCAGGTTCAGCGCGTTCCCCGACGCGTGCTGAAGCCGGTCCACCACGACTGGGTTGCGGATACCGAACAGGTAGGTGAGGTCGTTCGGGCTAATGCCCGATGCACACGCGCAACCCACGAGCATCTTGGTGGCCTGGCGGGCGACGCGACGCACCCTACGGTTGGCGTTCGGCAGGCTTACATCCCTGTGGTCCGTTCCTCATTGAAGCATTGGTCACCCCCATTACCTTCCGCTTACGCCTACCCGCAACCCAAAAATATTCACAACGCCTTCCATGTCCAACTTCTGAAGCCCTACCAAGATCCCAACACGATCTTCACTGGACGCCAACTGCCGCCCATGCTCGTCCATGATTAATCCAGAGTACTAGGTCGAGTCAGTGCTTGCACACCGTCGTCGTCGGAATGGCACCTTGGAGCTTCTCATTCGTTGGAAGGGTAATGATCCTTCTGAGGATAGCTGGGACCCTAAATCAAATATGGGTAATGCTCGTCGTCCTCTTCACGACTACCTTGTCAAGAAAGGTGTTACTTTTACCACCCAATTTTGAGGGTGGGAAGTGTGAGAGTACGACCCTGTTATACTTCTTTCTCATTTCCATATTTCTCCTCTACCTCATTCTTCTTTTTATCTTGATTCATTTGGTCTTTATCTCATCTCGTTTGGTTTCCTATTCCTCATTTTCCATTATCCTTTGGTTTATCCTATTATTATAATAATATCACCGACCAGGCTCGGGATGTACTGGCGCGCTATATCTAGTGTAATCGTGCCGTAATTCCTTAAAGCCAATAGACTCGCGTGGCTATTTGCAGGGTGATTCTATTTCTATAAAGGTCTATTCTCATTGGAAAGGATAAACATGGTTACCTTATCTACCTTGGAAGTATAAAAGTGCCTTGTATCGATCGATAGTGCAACTTTCCCTTGATCAATTCGATCGTGTGACACCTTGCCCTTGCCGCCAGAGGAGCGGACCGGGGCAGAGGCAGCCGCTACAGTCTGAACGACGGAGGCGAAGGCAGGAGGGACAGTCACCCGGGAGGGAGTGCTGTCCTCAAAGATAGGGAATGCTGGCGCGCCAGTGGAACCAGCGATGGCGCGGAGGCAGTCCTCTACCTCACTCAGGGAGGTAGAGACGAGGTCAAGGGTGAGCTCAGTGGGGTGACGAGCGAGGAGCGCGTCACGGCCAGGGGCAAGGCAATCGGGGAGGCGGGTGACAAGGAAGTAGCTAGTGGCAAAAGGGGGGGGCGGGGCGAGCGCCAGCTGGGCTGCACTACAGGCTGCACGCCAGTGGGCCTCGAGGGAGCACAGGTGCTGAACTAAGTCTGCTACAACGGTGAAGGGCGTCAGGTTGGGGTGAAAGAAAGGGAGGAGGAGACGACCAAGAGTGGCAGACGAGGGAGTGGAGTACCTAGCAAGGATGGCTGTCCAGAGGGCGCGGGCTGATTCAGCACCCATAAAGTGGGAGTGCTCGTCAACCGGCAGGCACCTGAGGATGGCGACACGAGCAGTGGCGTTGCGGCACGCAACTTGCACTCAGTCAGTTCACTCTATTTCGGCTCTGATTGTCTAGATTCCAGCAAGGATTTGATGGCGGGACATTCCCAGGCAG